GATCTCTGGCGACGTCTTGGGGAGGGCTCTCGGGATTGGAGATCTTGGGGTGGGTCTGTTGGGATTGTAGACTGCTTGGGGTCCCGGATCTGCGCATCGCCGGCGTTAGCCACGCCTTCGCGGTGCCTCTATGTTGCCTTGCCGCTGGGCCACACGTCTCTGAAGTTCAGCCTGCTCTACAAGGCGCGCGCTGGCTTCACGAAAGCCAATCCGTTGTCATTCATGCCTTCGGCGTTCCGCTCCCCATCCCCACCCCCCGTGTGTCTCGGCTTGGGTAGGCACGGCCCTGGGACTCCCCCCTCCCACCCACCCACCCACCCCGAGGGCCGCCCTTCCCCCCCCCCACTGCAAAAGCAGGCCCGAGCCCCTAAAACACCAGACTGAAAATAGGCCCGAGCCCCAAAAAAAGCCAGACTAGAAATAGGCCCGAGCCCAAGACATGTCCGAGTAAAAATAGGCCCGAGTCTAAAATCATGATCGCGTCAGCGCGATCAGTTTACAGGCCCTGGCCCATAGACAACGTCTACATAGGAGCTCGACAAAGAAGCCAATGAACATGAAAATGAGCCCGAGCCTATAAACATAGCCCCGTTTGGGCATCCGGCCGGGCTCATGTCTTTGCACGTCGGAACCGAAGAAATCATCAAGGATAGGCCCCGGGCCTACAATGTGGGCGCGCCCATCCTCCGGGCTCATCTTTGAGTCTTGTCTGCCCTCTGGGCTCTCAGAAGGCCTAAGAACTTCCGAGCCTTCTGAGAAGGCCCGCCCCCCCCTGAGATCTCCCCCCAGGCTCGCCGCCGACCTGTTGCGTCGCGTCCTGCACTACACTAAAAAGTACAGTCGGACTCGATTGGGCAGGACGCGCGAGAGGACACAGGACCCTTCCGAGGGCCACATTGCCGCAGGAATGTTGTAGGAAGCATGGATCGCGAGACACAGGACACAAGGGTACCCTTGATTTGGCAGGGTCGACCTACTTATCCAGGCCGCCTGCAATGCAACTCTCGCACGCAGTCCACCGCCTAGGACCCTCAAGTTCAGTGTTCGCGCTGAGCGCCGCGCGATGCGATTTTTCCGCCGTCGGCCGCGGCCGACTCAGCATTGAGATCGGGGGTCCAGGGGGCTGAAAAAATGGCTGCGCTACCTTTCCAGAAGGGGTGCGGGCCCGTTGCAGGAACGCCAGAAATCGCCCAAAAACCTGCCGCAAGAAGGTCAGGGGAAATCCTACGTGCCAGCTTTCTGTCCTGGGTACCCAGGAGGGCCTCCAGCACGCCAGAGAGAGCCAACCCTGTCGCCGTGGCCTTTCCCCAGCACGGGGGAGGTCCGGGGAGGTCCCGTGTGCAAAGACGCGCGGTCCTGGCATCTCGGCTCTCTCGAGAAGACACGAGCCCTCGACCTCTCGACCACCTCCCCAGGACCAGCCAGTTCTCATCCTAAGTCCTTCTGCTGACGGTCCCGAGGCCCCGAGGAGGGGCCCGAGAGGCCGAAAGCGATGAGAAACCGCCGCCTAGATTTCTTCGAGACGCAGGATGTCTGGGACTACAGCCAGACCAAAGATAGAAGAACGTCCTGCAAGAACATGAGACCCTCCTACAGCCAAAACACACAGAACACCCATTAGTACCCAGGGTGCCCAAGACCATGCAACAAGCACAAAGAACACCAGGGTACCCTCCCCGAACCAACCTCGATCTTACACCTCGGTCCGAAACCGTACCTCTGGCTCCCGCGGGCACGCTCCGCGCGCCCCTCGAGCCCTGGCGGCGCTCCGCGCGCGCACGCCTGGCCGAGGAGCGCCCGTGCCCCCTGTTAGGTTTTGGTTGGCGGCCCACGGGCCTGGCAAGACGGCGTAGAATTTCCGCCCAGGGGCGCTGGCAAGACAGCGCCATCTTTGCTGCAGCCTGGCGCGCAGCCGTGAAGCGGTATTGCGACGCCTTGTGAGGCCACGGCATTCCGGGCCTCGGAGAAAACCGCGAACACTGATGCCACATTCATCTGTCAATGCCCCCCCCATGATCAATGTTGGCGGTGGGTTGGATGAGTTGCACTTCGACCGCAGTCGTCTCCGCGCGTGCCAACTTGATTTAGGGGGAGAGGGACAGTGTCCTGTTTTGCAGGCTCCGAGGGCGCTTTTCGGGCCTTGGGACCGACACTAGATTGACCCCAGGATGGGTCTGGGCACCGATTTCCTGGGGCCCATGACTTCGCGCTGCACCGTTCAGCCTTGAGCGATAATTAGCAGCTTTCCGATCGCTCAAGGCCGCTCGGGATCTGCTGACCCGGGTCAATCCAGACCCGGGGCAGTCAGGCCTTGCAAAAATCCTGCAGGATCCTGCCAGCTCCTGCACCCAAACCCGGGTCAATGCGAAGGATCCTGCAGGATCCTGCGAGATCCTGCACCCCAAGCCCGGGCCAATGCGAAGGATCCTGCAGGATCCTGCGGGCGCTCTGGCTGACCCCCGTTTGCCCTGGCCCCTGCCTCATTGGCGATTCCAGGCCACCACCTCCTCCTCCTCCTCCTCCTCCTCCTCCCTCCTCCTCCTCCTCCTCCTCCTCCTCCTCTCCTCCTCCTCCTCCTCCTCCTCCTCCTCCTCCTCCTCCTCCTCCTCCTCCTCCTCCTCCTCCTCCTCCTCCTCCTCCTCCCTCCTCCTCCCTCCTCCTCCTCCTCCTCCTCCTCCTCCTCCTCCTCCTCCTCCTCCTCCCTCCTCCTCCTCCTCCTCCTCCTCCTCCTCCTCCCTCCTCCTCCTCCTCCTCCTCCTCCTCCTCCTCCTCCTCCTCCTCCTCCTCCTCCTCCTCCTCCCCCTCCCCCGTCGGCCGATTCCGGGCCACCGGCGGCGCTCCGCCTCGAACGCCAACGCGCTGGGGCCGCCGCGCGTCGACACAGGCACGGCCCCGCCGCCAAAAAAAGCCGCCGCCCGGATCTCTGCAGGACGCCGGGTGCTGTGGGCCCCTGGGCTCATCCAGGCCCCCGACGCCGTGATTCTTGTCATGACGTCGACCCCCTCGAGCAGTGGACAAAAAATCACGACGGGCGGCTTTGCGCGATTTTCGGCCTCTGGGGGTCCGTACCGTGCCTCGGGCCCGTCACACAACGACTCGAGATAAAAAGCTGGCCCCGGGGAATAGATCGAAACCTTCAGGGGTCGACGTCATGAAAAAATCAAGACGTCGGGGGCCTGGGGACGTCGACCCCCAGAGGTTTCGACCTATTCCACGCCACCGGTTTTCATCCTGAGTCGTCTCTTGACGGTCCTGAGGCCCCGTAAGGGCCCCCCCCAGAGGCAGAAAATTGTAGAGAAAACCTCCCGTCGTGATTCCCATGATCTCATCACTCGAGGGGGCCTGGGGGGGGGCGGCTGGAGTACCGGGGAGACGTAGGTCGAAGAGCGCGTTCCACTACTCGCAGAGTAGCTACTCACAAATGGCCTGAATCCGCCGCGGGGAATCTACAAACAATTACAGAAAGGAAGGCAGGCTTTTGTCTCAAGTTTGCGAGCAGGCACTTTGCGAGTAGCGGAACGCGCTCGGTGAGTAAGGCTCAGGTTCGGGGGGCTCGGGTTGGCCTGACCATGCCATCCTGAAAGTGACGAGACCCAGTCTGAAATTTTGGCGCGAGCTCCCGCTGCAGACGTCCCACGAAAACTGGGCCGTCAAGATCCAGGACGCGCTCGTCAAAAAACGCAGGCACAGACCGGAGTCCCGACGTACTCGAGTCTTGGTCTTGCGCCTCCCCGAGAGCAGCTGCCAGCGGCCCTCCTCGACCCTGCACACGATGGTCTGGAAGCGCTTGTGCTCGTCCGGAGGGCAGGCGTCGCCCTCCACGGCGGCCATGGCGCCGACGGTCTCCGGGTCCTGCCATACGCGCTCTCTTTGGGGGGACAGCAGCGCGGGGCGACGAGGTCTGTGCGAGTCCACCGCACGTGACCAGGCCCGACCTGGATGGCACATCGCACGCCTGTGATGGCAACCGGTGGCCAGAACAAACGTGTTGTGTTATGGATAGCAATCGGCAATCATAACAGACGTGGCCTGCGGCTCGCACCGACCCCCCGCCCGACCCGCGATGGCGCTCATGTTACTGCCGCAGCGGATGCGAACCTGATCCTCCATTGCAGTGGCCTCCAGCCTCGCAGGGAAAAGGCTGTGAGCACGGAAGCGGTGTGTGTATACGCTTGTGGATGCCACGACAATGGACACCCTAACAGTCCTATCATTGAATTTAAAATGTAGTGAAAATTGTCGGAAAATGTTCAAAACACGTTTTAAACATGTTTTACATGTTCGAATCATGTTTAACACATGTTTTCGGCATCTGGAAATTATTTGGCAACATGCTTCCTCTCCACTGATCTTCCTCCACAAGTATACGCCCCGTGGCCTGGCTGGGGATGCACACGCACCGATCCTGGGCCCAACATGGGCCCAGCCAGGGCCGGCGGACATGTACACAGATCTCGGCGGGGGCTCCACTGGACGCAAGCAGGCAGACAAGCAAGCAATCCATCGGCACAGCGCCTGGGACCCAGTGGGATAGCCCCGCAAGCGAGCAGTCCACTGGGCCAGCCGCAGACGTGCACTGGGATAGCCAGAAGATCTGCGAGGATCGCAGGGAGGTTGCGCAGGATCCGAAAAGACGGGTCTCAGCGAATCAGCTGCGTGCAACTGGTTCTATCGGCGCCTCCTGGCGGCGGGGCCGAAGCCAGCTGCGTGCAGCAGATTTCGCTAATTACCTCCGCTTTCCCAATCCCCCCTTCCTAGACCCACATCGAGCAATGAAAAAAATCAAGACGGAAAGCTTTTCACTGTTTTCGGCCTGGGGGCCCTTACTGGGCCTCAGAGGACCGTCAACGAAACGACTCAGGATGAAACACCGGTCTCGGGGAATAGGTCGAAACCTCTGGGCCCAGACCCCCGACGTCATGATTTTTTCATGACGTCGACCCCCCGAGGTCTCGACCCGCTCCCCAGGACCAGTTTGTCACCCTGAGTCGTTTTTGGACGTTCCTGAGGCGAAAATGAGAAACCTTCCGTCGTGATTTTGCCATTACTCGAAGGGGTCTGGGTCCTTGACCCCTCAGCAGGTGGAGCCCCCGAGCGTGCTCGGCAGCAGCAGCTGTGGTGCGAAGGACGGCCCGCGGCGGCCGCCAGCCGCGCTCGGTGCCCAGGCCAGGGCTCGGCGGCCGAGCGGGCTCGGCAGAGAGGCCGGCGGTGGCAGGATCGGTCGGCATCCGATCGGTAAGTCGGATCGGTTCGGAATGCGCCTCGGACAGGGCTGCATCGGTGCGGAATCGAAATCGAATCGGATCGGCTGCGCCAGGATGCACAGCAGCGCCATGCAGGCGTCGGGCCGCATCGGATCGGGCAGGCCGAGATCGACATCAAATCGGATCGACCAGATCGAAACGAGCCCTGGCGGTGGCCCAGCAGAACCAGCTAGAGGCACCTGGTATCCGCCCTCATCCCCCTCCACCTCCCTTTTCGCCTCGCCGTCCTCCTCCTCTTCCTCCTCCTCCACCTCCTCCACCTCCTCCATTCCTTTTCCTTATTCAATAATTTCTCCCTGCCGCACCCTGAGGCAAGTTTTTGGGGCGGGCTGGACGTTTCGCCTGAGACTTCCTCACCATTTATGACCCTGAAGCTTAAACATTGGCAACAGTTTCACAGATGGAGGGCGGCTCGTTTTCAAAAGGTGGCTCTCGCCTTAGCGCCGCGCACATTCGTTTTAAACATTTGCGAGAGCTTCACGGATTGAGGGCGAATAGTTTTCAAAATGTGGCTCTCGCCTTAGTGCCACGCACATTCGTTTCAAAAATTTGCACGAAGTTCGCGAATTGAGGGCGGTTCCTTTTCAAAGGTCGCTCTCGCCCTAGCGCCGCGTACATTCGCTTGTCATATTGGCAAGCACGGAAGGAGGGCGGTTCCTTTGCAAAATGTGGCTTTCGCCAAAGCGCCGCGTACATTCGTTCATCACAATTGCAAGATCTTTAAGGATTCCCATGATCAACGTACTAGAAATGGTGTTTCGGAAGGATTCGGGATTATGAGGGTGCAACAGTTACGCTGATCTGCGGTCTCGAAGTCCCAAGAATGGCGTTCTGGCACGATTCAAGATCGTCAAGACGCAACAGTCAGGTTGATCCGTGGCATTGGAATCCCGAGAACTATATTTTGGCATGCTTCAGAGTCTTCAAACGGCTGTCTTCCGACGAGGCAATGACCTAAGTGGAAATGAGCCGTTGTAGGGACCTATGAAGAGGAAGCTTGGAGGGAGGGTTTATTCCAACATCGTTGATGACTCTTGGGTGTACACTGATCCTCCTCCTGCTCCTCCTCCTCCTCCTCCTCCTCCTCCTCCTCCTCCTCATCCTCCTGTAGAGCACCGGGCGCCAAAGGTGTCCCCAGAGGCCTCCAGAGGCCCAAACACATGCCGGTAACAAAGAACAGATATCATCCTCAATTCACTCCGCGCAATGACAAAACGCTTGCAGGGGCAACAGTGGGCCTCGGAGGCTCGCTGGTTTGGAGCGATTTGGAGCCGAAGGCAGAAAGAAACTGCGAGTGCACAAAAGCCCGGGGTATTGACGAGTTGAGCCTCCCGCGGGCTCTCGGCTGGCTGCGCCAGGGAGTATGAAGCGCGCACGGGCGGCTCCAGGGAGCGGCGCGCGGACCACTCGCGACCTCCGAAGCGATCCGGGCGGGCTCGGAGCGGGGTCGGAGGGGGTGGGCCCAGGGCGAGTCGTCGGCCACCTTTTGGTGACCGTTCTTCCCTCTCGCACGTGAGGCCGCCGGGATCATGTCACAGATGGCGTTACGTTGGGCTCCAGCTTCGCTTCAACCAGTTCGCTGGGTGACAGCGCCCATTGCCACTGCTGGCCGTTGCCACACGCGCTGGCAATTGCCGTGCAATAACCTGGGCTGACGTTCATACGTTGTCGGGATGCCTCGCGAAGCGATTGCGGTGCTTCGCTCCACTTCTCTGTCCTACCGCTTGCGGTCGCCTCGGAGTGATGCACGCCTGGCCAGGACACCCGCCAGATGTCTGACATCGACGGTAGCCATCAACGAGTATGATTTCGAACATCCCCTCAGCCAGAGGCTCGATTCGATAACTTCATCGAAAAACTCAGGATTGGGCCAAAATGGCTTCAGCCGAAAATGCGATACTCTAACCGTGAAGACACACCGTCAGCAAATCGCGCGAGCATTGCTGACACTGCGACTTGCCACCACCATCAACACCTAAACGAGAACACCAAGACGAAAGCTGCCATCTGCGGATCGTGACCGAATCTGATAATTACTAGCCAAGAGATCCCATTTCGCTCTTTCACGATGATGTACAGGGGTATCCACACAGCGAATTCAACACGTGGCAATGGCGTGCGCCGATTTCTAAAAAAGGAAAGAACGGGGCACTCCGCGAATAGCGGCCCGACCGATTCCCGGGCAGGCGATTACTCGTCGTGGGCAGGCCAAGCCGACGGCTGCTGGCCCAAAATAGAAGCAGGCACAGCGCATGGAAGACTGCAACACTGAGCGAGACGACCCTCAGGGACTCCGGCTGGCTATCTGCCCAACTGCCAGGAACTGCTCACTGCGTCCGGGAGCTCACACCTAGGGAGGGGGGGGAGAAAAACTAGCAAAGAAAAACAGAAAAGCACGCCAAGGCGCCTCGGAGGCGGCCAGGGAGTCTGAGCTGGCTGTGCCCCGAGAAACTCTGTCCAGAGGGGGGGAGTGAAGTTCAGATCCGCTCACAATCTGTTGAATCCGGTCAAAGTCGGTCCCCGGACTCCTGGGTTCGATCTGGTGCAGGCTTTCAACCTAATTTCGTTTTTGACAGTCCGGGGGGCCGAAAACTGCTACCGGAGACCAGAAGCGCAACAACAACAACAACAACAACAACAACAACAACCACAACAACAACAACAACCACAATAACAACAACAACAACAACAACAACAACAACAACAACAACAACAACAACAACAACAACAACAACAACCACCACATCAACAACAACAACAACAACAACAACAACAACAACAACAACAACAACAACAACAATTACTAGCACGTGGGGACACTCCGTTCTCACCAGTGCCAGGGTTTTCATAGGAGGCGGGCAATACCCCCACTTTGTGGGGGGGCCGGTTCAAGCTCTACCAAATTTCCAAACGACTCTTCGCCACCACCCACACCCAGCTTCCCGCCCTATGACGTTCGGACACTTCACTTCGTGGCATGCGGACGACCGTGGCTACTATTCAGGGCCCCGCGGCCGACGACGACGGCGTGCGCGCGCGAAGAAAAAACGAATGTGTCCCGCATGGTATTATTTGACAGGGATGATGGCCCTGGCAGGTGCGCAACCGTTGTCGCAGAAGTTCGAAAAAGTTGCTCGCAAAAGCCCGTTTGACAGAAATGTTTAAAAAGTGTTGGGTTTCCTACGAATCCGCAAGAGCGCGCGGGATGAAATTTTGACACTTTTTTTTTGAAAAACCATTGGTTTTTTGATGTTTTTATGTTAAAATCGCTACGAACACTAAGGTTTTGGAAGGATTTCGTCTTGCGCGCGCGAATGTCCACTTTACCTTATTTTTTGCAAGGGATTCTTGAAGTTTGGTTATGTTAGAACAAGAAATGTCCACTTTAGCTTATTTTTTGCAAGGGAAAACCGATCGTAACAACACAACCGGATCTGGATGACATCGTTTTACCTGAGACTTCCTCACGAAAATGATGAAAATGTGGCTGCGGCCTAGGCGCGGCGGGGGGGCCATGCACCAGGGGTCCCAACAATAATTATTCTTTAGAAGTAATAATGTTCAACAACAACGACCACAACAACAACAAAAACAGCAACAGCAACAGCAACAGCAACAGCAACAGCAACAGCAACAGCAGCAACAACAACAACAACAACAACAACAACAACAACAACAACAACA